TGGCTGCTTGGGTCGGGTTGGTTGGGTTGGTCGGGTCGATCGGATTGGTCGGAGCGGTCGGGCGGGTCGGGTCCGGTTGGGTTGGTCTGGTCGGGTGGGTTGCTTGGTCAGGGGTCAGGGGCCGGTGGGGTGGGTCGGGTCGGCTGGAGACGGTCGGGTGCCTGATTCCGCGAGCCTGGTCTCTGAATCCCATGTCTGGTCTCGGAATCTGGGAGCCTGGTCTCTGAATCCCATGTCTGGTCTCGGAATCTGGCTGCCTGGTCTCTGAGTCTGGTCCCCTGCTGGTCTCGGATTCCCCCCTCCTGGTCTCTGATTCGGCCCTCCCGGTCTCGGAATCTGTTCCCCTGATTCGGCCTTCACCCCCCGCACCCTGCAGTGGGCACCAGCTATGGGTGCACAACCGAGCGATCAGACTTTAGAGCCGAAGCCGTGTCGTCTTTGGCTTTACAGTGGAAGCTCAACAGGCCCCTGAAGCTGATCTTCCGGAAGAAGGACAAGATCGAAGTGCATGTCCGGCTCCTGAATGGGCCGTGCCTTGGTCTGCACTGAGGGATCTTGCTTTCTCCCTATTTTGGGACGAGGTTCCTGCGGCTTCTGTTGCGACATTTGTCGAGCTTCCGGGGCTCCCGACTCGCCCCACGGACGCTGTTCAGGCACAACTTGGAGCTCGCCAACAGTAAAGACGAGATGCCGCCGAAGATTATGAAAGACAACTCGAAGGTGCCCACCGCTGCTGTCTTATATGCGGTTATTCACACTCTCAAAACATCTCCACACCTTAAGTCCCCCTCTCTACATTCGGCCTCGGGCTAACTCCAGGCTTATGAGGGCCGGATGTGGGAAGGGTAGCATTTTGTGGCTCATGGCACGGGCTGAACAGGGGTGCTTTGCATGACTTGGTACCTCAACACGACACCAATCCAGTCCTGCATTCTTAAACCGTGGAAGCCCTAAGAAGGCTGCCACAACATATGAGATGACGCCATAGACATTGGTGGCGCAACAGGCATGTGCCCATGCCCCATGCCGGAGCCCAAAAGAAGACCCTACATTGGATCCTGAGAAACTGGAAGGACAAGATGTGGAGGAAGCAGGGCATAAGCCCTGGCTGGCGCGTCGTGGACATCAACGGCGTGGACACAAAGGAGATGACTGCCGCAACTCGGATCTTAACTTAACCAGGATAGGACAGGGGATGCCAACTTGGGTTTCCAACTTGGGTTTCCCACACCATGCCCTCAAATGCCAGGATTGCATACTGCCACGAAACTTATTCGAAGACTTCGAAGGCTGTAGACCTACCTCAGGCCTGGCATCAGAACGTCTTGGACTAGAGCATGTACCCGTGACAGTTCTGCCTTGAACTCTTGAACCTTCCATCGAGGTGATGCCACGGTTCAAGCAGCTGCTACAGCTGCGCCCGGCCATCATCACCTGCAGACCTCATGGCCTGGCGGCCCGGGGCGACTCTGACAGGCATCGGTGTTGCGTGTCTTGCTGGGCTTCGAAATTCGGAGAAAGGTATCTAGCACGGTGGAAACCTGCTTCCGAGTGTTCCGAAATCGCTGATGGAAGCTTCTGCATGCGGCGTGGATGTCGGCAAGCAGCCTAAACATTTTGTTGATGCTCATGGCTCACAACAGCCTGTTCACTTCCTCGCACACCATTGCACATCCCCAGGCTTTCGTGCTGCAGAACATGGTGCCCCTTCTTAGATCCCTAAGCTTCCTTGAACCTACAACTCCTTATTTCTCGGAGTTGGGTCCCTGTTTGTCCCCCGCTCCCTTTGCGCGTCGTCCCCACCGGAACACCCTGGAGGGCCATCCAGGAGGCCAAGCCTGTGATGCTCAGTGGGGTGGCCTCGAAGGTGTTCAAGGTGCGGGTTTAGGGGCTTTAGGGAGGGGTTTGGGGGTTTGGGGGTTCAGTGGTTCAGGCGTTTAGGGGTTTAGGGGTTTAGGGTCGGCAAAGCTATGTTCCACATTGATATCTCACTTCCCAAAGAGACGAGCTCAGTTTCTGCATCCGACATGTCTGCTGCAGGAGTATGAGCACAAGCTGAGGCACAAGGACCCTGTTGCATGCGATGAGCAGAGAAGATCCAGAATGATATGTATATATTTTGTATGTATATATGTATATAGCGATAGAGGGGCTGACCGTTCTGCTTTCAAGGATGGGCCCTTGGCCTTCATGCGGGTTCCGAGACCAAGCGCTGTGCTTCTTGCCTTAAAAGCTTGTCGAGTCTCATTGTTGTTTAACCTTTAGGCTTGCCGAAATCCTGACAGTCCTCGTGGATCCTCGCCGCGGGCGCCAAGGATACCGGACCCTGTGAACACTCAGCATCTGAACTGCCGCCCTGCTCGAGCTGCTTGCTTGGACGTCCAGGCACGCGGGTTCTCCGCAGACACGCTCGATCGTGCGGTAGAGTGCATACCGTGCCGGAGATTGCGATGGACATGAAGAGAAGGAGGGAGGGAAGTAGAAGTTGCGCAATTAGCACAGCTGATGGTCAGGGCCTGGCGAAATTCATCGCTGGCGGAGCCTCGGACAAGTGTTAGAGGTGTCAGGTGTCTTAGCGGACTTGCAATTCCAGCAAGACAGACTCCATGTGAATGCGCAAGGCGAGGAAGAAGACGACAAGGCCAGACCATCGGTGCAAGGATGTCCTGCTCTTGGTCGGGAGCAAGAACCCTCTCCACAAAGTGCCCTTTCCACTCCGCTGCTTGCAGTAAGGTTTAGAGCACAACATGAACCCGGCAGTCTTCCGGAACATCCCGCTCTTCAGCAGCTTCGCCTCACACAGGAAGTGACAGAGGGAGAGAGGCCACACGCAAATGCTAAAACGGAAGAAGAAGCAGAAGGAGAAGGAGAAGAAGAAGAAGGAGAGAGAGAGGGAGCGATCTGGGAAATCAGCGTGTGCGCAAAACCATGTCCAGGGCCCACGCATCCGATTTCATCCCGAGACAGGACGCGATTGGGCGCGCCTAGCGCGCGGGGGGCCCTTGGGTCCCTCATGCCCTGAAGAAGAAGAAGAAGAACGAGCGAGATTGCATGGGTGAAAACTTGGGCCCATGGGCAATGCACAAAATCTTCTAAGACCTTCAACTGCGGGGGCTAACCTTGGGTCCCTAAACCCGTAAACCTTAGCCTGTTTCAGGAGAAACTCGGTTTCTGCACTGAGGTGGCGCGACCGAGGTCGGCCAAGTGAAGGCCCGGTTCAAGGCCAGGAAAGAGACCCAGGAAGTGGGATGAAGGGTTTAGGGTTTAGGGGGAAGGTTTGTTGTAGCGGTTGCGGGTTTAGGGTTCCAAGTTTGGGAGTTCAAGGCGGAAAGAGGGAGAGAAGAGAGAGAGAGAGAGAGCGTAGAAGAAGAAGAAGAAGAACAAGAAGAAGAGAGAGAGAGAGAGGGATGCCTTGAAAAGTATTGCTCGCTTTGACGTGCCGTGCTTCAGATCCCGACGACCTGTAAATTCAGCGTTTCCATGTTCCTTTGGCAGACGACACCAGGCAAACGCACTGGGCGCCGCTTCCTGGATTTTCTCTGCATTACACAACATTCGGATAACCTAGCCTGCGCCCTCCTCTACAGACTCTACAGGTACATGCAGAGGTGCACTTCGTAATCGTTTGTCAAAGCCGGCCCTGCAAACAAAGTGAGTGCTTCTCAGTCCAAAGTAGCCATCAGAACCCTGCCGCGAGGTCATCTCGCCACCGAACAAGAAGTGGATGCTTGGCAAGGAGGCCTTCCAGCTGCAAGTAGTGACACCATGTGACACCCACCTTGCAGAGCCTTGCAAGCGCACAACGCCCAAGGGCACGGGCGAGGACAAGGCTGGAGTTGCAAAAACTGTTTCACGGCAGTCATTTCTGGTCGCTACTTGGGAATGTGACGGAATGCGAACCCCGCGTTTGGGATGTTTTCTCGCAATTTGGACAGTTCTTGATGAAGAACCTCTGCTACCGACGGACTGCAGGTCTTCTTCAACGAGAAGCTCTTGCGCAAGCGCTTCAAGATTGACCAGCCTCACTCCCTCCGCGTGCGAACCTACATCATACGAGGCCTTAACGTCAGCGGCGTCCCTTGGCGTAGTGACTTGGGATGTCTAGTCATTCCTTCATCCCCCCCCCCCCTAGCGACCATGCCGGGAGCGGCATGAGCGGCTGACTTGCTCCTTGTGCTGCCCAAGGCTGTGTCTGGCTATGGCAACCCTTACCTGTACTTCATGTACGGTCACGGGCTTAGACTGCGTCAACGAGGGACACGCTGCCCTGCTTCCTCCCAGTTCGGGCTTTCTGCCTTCGTGCTTAGGGGCGTTCAAGCGAGGCTGGAAAGTCATGGCATAGCGCTTTAGGATATTTTGGTGCCTAGTGTCGAAGAGGGCTTGCACATCGGAGAGCGCTAGAGCAAGACCATTAACCTCACAAAGACAAAGCGAATACACATGTTCATGAGCAGGAGCAAATGCTTCTCAGAGTTGGGAGAATTCGGTGGCTCAACGCTTCATTGAAGAGTGACACACGCTGTGACGCTACTAGTTCCTGCCTGCCTGACACAGCACTGTACTACTTTCTGAAACTGAAAGACAAGGGCCCCAACGACGTAAGTTCTTGAACGCAATGCACAAAGGGGAAAAACGCACAGACGACAACGAAAGATCAAAAGCTGAAAACTCTGCTACATCAAGCCTAGTCCTCATACCCATTAAGTTTTCCAAACCGCTTCATTCCTCGGATCATCCGACTGTTGCTGCAGGGTCGGGCCAGAGATGTCTGCTTAGAGGATGAGCCTACACTCCGCTTAGTTCTACAGTCGTATCAAGAAAGCGGGGGGGATTCTCGGGCGGGGAACAAGGGGGAACCTCACCGGCGTGTCTCGTGCAATTTTTCAGCGAGGAAGCCAACAAGCGGCTGCGCTCGGCCTTATGCGCAGTCGCATGTTGGTTCAATATCTGCTGCGCGCTTTCATGGTGCATGTGGTGGGTACAAGCCATCTAAGCAAGTCGAACTTTGGAGTGACACTTTTGACTGATTCGCAAAAGGGCTGTGCATAGCAGAGACATGCAGACACTTATGGACCCGCGTAGCGACATGTGAGCAGGAAGTGTTGCCCGGCAGTTTGAAAACTGCACCTGCAAAAAGCAAGCCCTTTCCTATGGTGATACACGAGGTTTTCATGCCGGTCCAAGGACCCAGCACATGCCTATGAGAGATGGGCCTTCCGGTCCGTAGACCCAGCACAGGCACGACAATTTATATAAAGAAACTGTGACACACCTCAAGCGGTGCAATCTCTGCCTGGCATGGTAAGAGGTCTCAGGATCGCCATGGTACGATGCCTAGAGGAGTATTTCCATGGGCCTGCGTGAGGTGCCAGCAAGGTCTCCCTGGAGGGGCATCGCCAGATGCAATCCGTGGAGCCTCGTTACTTCCGTACGGAGGAGCGAGCACTGGGTTCGGAAGCTACCCTGCAACACTTTCTGGTGGCTGAGTGGCATGGAGAACTTGTAGATGGCTTGCAGAGCCGCGGCGCAGGAGTGCGACATCAATTTGCCGGAGCAGCGGCAGCCTCAAGGTAGAGGGATCCACGAAGGCTCACGCAGAGCTTCCGTGCTGCATCGTAAAGCACCGTAAAGCATAAGCTCAGGTCCTACTTCGAGATCGGCCTGTTCGACTACCAGGAGAACGGCGAGGACTTGCTGATCGGTAAGAGCGTCCTGGATCTCGAAGACAGGCGGCCGCCTTCGCGCCATTCAGCCAGTACTGTAGGCTGAGTTGTTGTCGATATTTGTTCTTCAAGGGCGTGGAATCTCAGATCTATCTTTCTGTGCTGTCCTCCGTACTTGCAAGCAGCTGCCGCCGCACCTTTTTTTGCCAAGTTGCAAATGTTGTCCCGGCCTCTTGTCTTGTACCGGCAGGTTCTACACCAGAGACTACATGATCATGATGAAGAACAAGAAGGCAATGGGCCTTCCGTGAATGAACACATGTCTAGGCCCAGAACTGATAAGATCGCTTCCTTTGAGTTCCCAAGAAGAAGGTTCCGATTGAATACCGGCCACTCATCAGCGAGTCGATCGATCCGAATACGGGCGACGTGAGCACCATCTCCAAAGGCGCAGGGTGGAGAAATAAACTCAAAACATTCAAAAAGTCGGGCGGTACGGTGAGGCTTTTTGTTGAAGGTGAAGCTTGGGGAGTCTTAAGTGTAGGGTTGTCGGTCCTTCTGTTGTGCAGCTGCTCAGCCTGGCTCTCGCGGATCAACCTCAGTTCCAAAGAAAGGCGACTGTTTGTTGCATAGCTGTTACCAACAAGCAGTCATGTCGCTGCAGGCTCGCTTGAGATGTGGATCGAGCTCCTGGATACCACGACCGCAGCAGAGATTCCCGTGAGCAAGCTACTTCAGCCGCCAGCTATGGAAGCGCCTCGGGCGAGGAAGAACGCGTCCGCACAGGATGCAGAATTCAGTCTTTTCTTACTGTTTATTGGCTTGTGGGTGATATTGGTTTGTGGGTGAAGGTCGAGATTCGCCTGATCTGCTGGACGGTCCACGACCTGCAGATGCGCATGTGCGTGGACCCTAGTGCCATTGATCGTTGAAATCTGAAAAGTTGGTGGTGGATCCGACATCCTGCACCCAGTTGACAGGCACCGACGAGTACGGAGACCAGCGAGACAACATCAGCATCCGCTGCCGATGTTCTATTGACTGTCGGACATACAACGGACCCCAGCCAAGGGAGCAGGAGACAGATCAACATGACTCCTGTGTCGGAGATGGCGAGTTCAACTGGCGGTTTCTGTTCTCGCGCATCCAGGTCACGAAAGGAGTCCCAATTGACTGCTTCCTACACCTGAGTGTATGGGAGTACTTTGCCTTGTCCCGGCCTGTCATGCTGTGCGAGAGCCTTCTTGAGCTCAAGAGCTACGTGAAGAAGGTTTCCGAAGCTGCTTGGCAGCTCCCGAGTGGATCGTAGGGATGCAATAAAAGCTCGGAGGGTCTCAGAGGGTCTAGGCGGCAGATGCAGCAATCACACCGTCTTTCTGTAAGGATCGCATGATGCTGGAAATGGAGGCAGATTTGCCGCTGTCGAACAATCAGCTATACGCAGAGCTGAAGAAAGAGATGAAGGGCGAAGGCGGCGTAGCCGCCAGCGGAGAGGGTGATGCAACTCGGCGGAACTGGGTAACCCTACACCCGAAAGAAGCTTAAAAATGATTGTCCTACGGTCCGTTCGCTAGACTAGGGTCCCATTTGGGGCTGTTAGCCACCCCATACCACCCCTCAAGATGTGTTTGTTTGCGGTACCGAAAAGGGACCACTATTGAATGTTCCAAGGAAGATGAGCCAGCCATAGAGGAGGAAGAAGAGGCCGAAGGACGGGCGCCCGTTGATATGGAGAGATGACATTGGGAGGTTGAGGGCTTGGGGCTGGGAAGCCCGTATATCTGAGCCCAATACCGCATTGTTTGTGGGAGTAGGGTGCATTGTGTCAGGAGATGCCGGCGGCGAAGTTATGCCCGGGGCGGCCGAGGAGGAGAAGGCCATTCCTCCAGCTGCCTACATGTCGCTTGGCTGGTACAGTTCTCGAGGTTCGGGTATACTGGGCTCCGGGGCTCCAAAGACCAGGATGCGAAGAGGGCCACCACTTGGCAGTTTGGAGAACGGGCAGCAGATGACGCGAGATTGTCGAAAGGGCTTCAGCTTGCAACCCGAAGTGCAATACCAAGAGGGAGCAGAATTCGCAGTGTAAGGAAAATCGTGCTGCAAGTACTGGCGCAGACCGAAGCATCCAACGAGAACAACAAGGCTGGCATTGCAAGGAATGAGCCCAACCGCCGCTCAGCTGGATTGGGCTAAGCAGCTTGACAAATTTCTACGGCCGTGAGGCAACTTCCTGCACACATCGGGAAAGATATCCTGAATAACTATCTTCGGACAAGACCTCACACCCAATGGCTGTTGAGAGCCTTGTATGCACTCCTGAAGCGCGTCCACTTGTCCATGATGACAGGAAACCCATCCTTGCCATTCCCGAAGACGGGCCGAGACTGGCGCTACTCCATGCCAACGGCCGCCAATGTGGTGGAGAAGGTGATTGGGACATGGATCGAGCTGATGATGATTGAAGGTCTAAAGTATGGTCTAGTCAGACATATAAATATATAGAGATAGCCATTGTCCCAAGTTATGTCAACCAGTGCTGCCTAACCCAGACTCGCGACATCCGAGGTCATGGATGCGCTAAGCCCATCGAAGCGCGGACCACTAATGACCCTCATCATGTTCATCATCATCTTCTCGATTATCTCGAACGTGCCGTTCGATGCGGATCTGCAGTGCGCGACTTGAGCAGCAGCCGAGGTCTTTTTTGCACCAAGCGTGCAGCGCAGAGATCGAACCCAAACCCTAAACCTGTTTTTGGACGTAGCACAACATCACTTCCTGCGGTCAGATGTACTCGGCCAAGGTAACGACCGTGAAGAAGAGCTGCTTTGACGCCAGCGTTTGCAACACCTGCAACTGCTGTGGCTTCCTGCTTGGCATTAGGGTCTGTGGTGTAGGGATGTTTAGTTCCACCAAAAGGAGAGGTGTTTCTGGAAATCTTCGTGTGGAGTACAACGTTCACGAGCTTAGGCAGAATCAGTGGAGATATGTCCGATGCCAAGAAGAGCCTTGACTGCAGAGCCAGAAGCCACTATGCCGCTGCGCTCCTTCGCTGTATCTCGCCATTATCCCACCTCATACCATCATACTGGCTTCGGTCTTCTCCCACTAGTCGAGAGACCTTGAGATATCTTGAGCTTGTTTGGAGCCACGCAACGCAATGTTCAAGGCGTCATGCGGTACTTAGTCACGGCTGTCCTTGGGCAAGGTCGAGGGGTTCTTGACATACGAAGTCCCAAGCCTATGCTGAGGCAGAAGCTTTGCAAATGGACTTTCATCTTCATGAGTCGGACGGTGGATGAGGCCGCGGTGTCATACCTGGCAAGCCACGGCTGTGTCGGGCTGTGCTTTTGTGAGGTGTGCACCAACCTTGCTGACTGCCGTGAGCTTAGACTCAAGACACCTCAGGAGATCAAATGCAGAGCAATCACAATCCAAACATAGTTAGGATATGTCAGGATTCATTTTCCGGACCCCAAGGCAACATAGCTTCGGGAGCGACGTGCAGTGCGGATGCAGAAGGTGCGGCCTGCAGAATTTGTGAGCTTTGGTGGGTCAAGCAAGGGTTCCCAAGAGAGTCCACCGTGACCACTGTCTTCGGGGGGTTGGTTCCTTGTTTGAAACCATTCGAGCCTTGAGGGTGTTGGGACCCGAATATTTGAGATAGTGATTTAGTTAGACCATTTCAAGGACCTTAATACAATGCTAAGCCCCAAAGCCTTGTAGAGAGATAAACAAGGCAACGCCATCTCAACCTGCACAACCCCATATCCTGCCTGCGGGACGCTCAGAGTATCCAACTGTCGATGTCCAAGAAGTGCTGACTGATTCACAGAAAATGGAGGTAGTAAATTAAGTGAGGTGTCCTCCTGTGGCTGAGGCAACTTCGTCCCGACTTCGACCTGAAATTCCTCGGCTCGCACTGTCGGGCACCCAGGGCTCGCCTTTGAGGGATTGCCGAACTTGAAATGCGCGAGCGCGACAAGCTCCACCGAAACAGCAGCGCTTTCCGAGGTGGAGATCTCATGCTTCGTAGTATTTCTCTGAGTCAGTGAGGTGAGGCATATGAGGCTGTCTCAGCCTCCCAGTTAATGCAGACATGGCAGCAAGACTGCGGGTGTGTGCACCGCAGGAGTGCCTGAAATCAGCAGCCACGGAGTGCTAGGGCACCCAAGGAGGCTTCTGTACTTGTTAGTGTACTCTTAGCGTCGCGGCACGTAGTTGTGGCTGCGGGGGATGGGCTGAAGACTGCGCCTGCAAATGTCCCCCCAAAAAAGAACGCCTGGTCAGAGAGAGACGTAGATGTGTGTATACAGATGTGTAGAGACAAGTTTCTCGGTCTGCCCAGCTATGATGCAGCAGCGCCCCTCGCTCCACAACTACGCCGCCGCTCCTGGGTAGCTCAGGGACTCGGGGAACCCTTTGGATCGGGGACCTCTGGGACCTCTGGGATAAGGCAGTGTGACGGCTCTCAAGGTCATGCGGGTTCCCCGTTTTGTTCTACGATTGACCTTCTGGCTGCGCAATTGTCCAACACGGAAGGCTCAGATGCCCAGCAGCGCTTAGTCTGAGAACCGCTGGCAGATCTCGCGAAAAGGCACAAGCTCGGTACCGCGCAGCCATGCACAGCCAAGGGGGTCCCAGAACACGGATGCTGGAAGCAGCTCGACTGAGGCTTTGGCACAGGTTTGCGAGCGAAGACACCGAGCCAGAAGCAAGAAGGCCGGCCGACGCTGAGTAAACCCAAGAGTTCCGGGCTTAGGAAGGCTTAGGATTGCTTAGGAGTCGCAAGAGGCGTTGAAGGAAGCCGCCTGCCATCACAGGCAGGATTCCGCTCTGCAACAAAGCTGTCCAAGCCTGAGGAAGAGAGTGCATTGTAGTCTTATACTGCCTCTGCGACGGCGAGCAGGGGTTCCTCTGTAAATTTGCATGATCAGATGTCGTAGCATCCGACCTAAAGGATGTGTGGAAGGCTAGGCCAGGCCTTAACAAAAAAGAGGACTTTCCGGGTTTGGTCGGTTGGCGGATTTTTGCACTTGTCAAAGCGGTGCCCAGGTCCCGGCGAGTGTACAACTCACCGCCAACAAAGAAGGACGAGCCTTGGGAGGCCCCATGGCACGTCCTACTACGTCCTGCTTGCACTCCTTGTGCATCGCAGCCCGCATTTTGCAGTTGCTGGGCGTGCCCCTCACGCCGGACTTCACTGCGGTCGGACTGGCGTACTTTGCCCAGGCAGGGAAAGCTTAGGACATCCTGTGAACAGCTTAATTTCTAGATTTAGTCTCGGCGGTCGTGAGTCAAGTCAAGGCGAGCAGTGTTCCACTCCCGCTGAGAGTTCACAAGAGTTCACAAGATTTGAAAGGCTTGGGCTTTCGGGTTGGGGACTTTAAGGGTGATTTTTAGGGTTCAGTGACACCGCCCCCGAGGGAGCTTTGGCACTTGCAGCCCTGGCAAAGCCGTTCTACGTGAAGGACAAGTGGCCAGTCGGGTCACTCTTGCGTGTCGATTCTGACATATTCTGACCCACCCCGAATTTGCTAGAACTCCCCGTATTGATCTTATTGCCATACTGCCATTCTTGTGCTAACAGCACCAACGGTCCAAGCAAGGGGTGTGCATGCCGATCAAGCCCATCTGTTCGCGCGGCTTCTCTTAGAAATTGGAGCAAAGCCTAGAGGTTAGGAAGCTTGCTTCTCTAGTTTACCTTCTCATTCTCATTCTCATTCGAGTTCTTAGGTTCTGGCTCACCGGTTCGGCTTTTGCTCAATTGAGCTGCGTAAACGGTTCCATCAGGGCTGATCTGCGTAGGTGTTTGACCGCATAGGTTTGCATAAGCTCTGCGTAGGCTTTCCTTCTCATCGGTTTGCGTTTGCACGCAACGTCTCCAAGAAAGCGGCTCCAATCTGTTCTCCCAGCTTCCCAGTGATTCGTGGGCGTTGCGTAGGCTTTGCGTATGCTTCGCGTCGGTTTCGGGTAGATTTGCGGTCTGCTGGCCAGGCAAGTTCTTTTGTCGCGCGTCATTTCCTGTTTGTTTCTCTTTTGTTTGTGCCGAGCTGCCTGAGCCATCTCCGCGAGTCTCTTCTGGGGCCTGGTATACGCTCCTTCAATGAGGTCGGGGCTGAACCCTGGGTGGGTAGGTTTGCTCAAGTTTGTGAATCGGGTTTTCCGTCGCGAGAGCCCTGTATAGCATCTTCGTTAGCTCAATTAGAAGAAGGACAACCACTGTGCAACTCGTTTGCAAGTTCACGCCCGAAGCAAGGTGCATATTGAATGAAGACCAAGTGGCCAACCTTTTCTTGTCCTTCCATACACCAGTGCAATCTCGTGACGCCTACAATTTTCTTTCGTATTTTGTCTGTTCGTTCTTCCAGAATGCGCGCATCACTTTGCTATTTCTTCTCGCTTGAAATGTTAGGAAAAAGCGAATGGAAGCGACACAAGCTATGAAGGCAATTCTTCAGTTAACAGATCCCGTATGAATTTGGCTTGAATATGGTTCATGCGCCACTCACTGCATTCATGTGCTTATAACCGAGCAAAAGCGAGTTACAGGCAAAATTTCAACAAGGCCTCATCGAAGTGTTTGATGATGACAGCATGCTTGCAACCTTGAGATCGAGAGTGCGGTCAACTTCAAGTCTTAAGAGGTTGAACCTACTTCAAGGAATGGTGTGATAGGTGGTGCTGGGTTGTTGGCGGGTACAGTTCTGATAGAAGTACGAGACACTGACATGACACCACTTCTATCTCACTCGGCAGCTTTCCTTTGCAATCAATGGACAATGAACCTCTCTATCATCGGGAGAGACGTGAGACAGTGACCACAGAGAGAAACAGATGAACAAAGGGGTGATCTTTGAGTGTCCCAGGCGATCATGCAATCCACACAGAACCAAGGCAAGTGCACGATGCCACACAAACACTGACTCCCCCGCCAAGATTATGCTTGCAGCCAGCAAGCCTGATTGCACTTCCAGGATACATTGGGAATGTCTCCGGCAGATTCCTCGCTGTTTCTTTCCTTCACGTGCCCACTTACACAGCGAAGTGTAAGTTACTCCGCTAGTGTCCATCTTGAGAACGCCTCTTTTGGCCCAGAGCTGTCTGCTGGATAAGCAGGGTGCAGGGTGGTGGAGCTTAGGGTTTAGGGCCGCGTTCTAATGCCATGCAAGAGAGGTACTGGCCCTGGATTATGAAGCCCTTGTGGGGTTTCATTGCCGTTTTCTCAGAGAGTGCATCGCGACATCCTGGCTATTGCTGCAAGAGTCAACATAGTGCCCTGACATGAAGGAAATGGAATCTGTGAGGAGCAGCTCCACGTGCATGCGCAGTGAGCCATGCACAGTGCCAGATACCGAGGCAGACAGCATCCCAATATTCGGCTCGCAGGGTGCCTCAGGGGGCTCATCCCAGCCTGTTCCCATCGCTCGAATCAGGAATGGCCGTACGTGGTTCCTCAAACACACCATAGTCGCAGCATGTCGCAGCAATGTCCACTACAAAGGCGAAGGCAGGCCTACCTGGTCCTTGCTGGGGCAGTCAGTGTGGTTGGCTGGGAAGCTCAGTGCTGGCATTGTCAATGTGTCGAGTCCTGCCTGATCCGCAGATTCAAAGTTTGCACTGGCACTCCCTACATGTGCAAGGCAGCTCGTTCCCGCAAGCCCGAAATAGATGCCGACTCATACCTACAACTGGCCCCTGGCCCTCATGTTGCCCTAACAGCCACGCTGCCAGCTGTCTGATTTGTCGGCTCAGAGAGGCTGGTTGGGCCTGGCGGGCTGGTGGCCCGTGGAGGTCAGCAAGGAGGCTAGCGACTTTGCAGGTATGGGGTTCAGGGTAGGGATGAGGATAAAAGTCTAGCTATATAGTGTTTATGGCTGTTTCCCTGTCAGCTTGGTTTATGTGGCCACACTCCTTCCCCGCTGCCATTTGAGCCTCAAAAATACACTCATCGTCTGCACGAGACTTGTTTGCTACTCAATTGCTGAACCTTAAACTCCGGCTGCATCTCCACCATGGCTCCAAAGAAGAGGCTGGGCGAGGGCCCCGCCTGCCTTAAGCCGTAGCAGTAAGCCTCGCAGGGGCTCATGCGCATTCTGTCTCAAAGGTGGCCTTCGCACTCATGAAGTAGGTTGTACTCAAGTCAGGATGCCGAAGACGATGTAGCAAATTGTTTTGATGAGATGGCCTGCTCAGAGTGCAAATTCCAGGTGTGGCCTGCGACGGCCCTAAACGGACCTTGTTGCGAGCACGTATGAGCACGTGCGAAACAGCATGAAGGTTGCGAGAGAAGTGGGGGCGGGGGGATGGGTGGGCAAAGTGCCGAGGCGTTGCCGAAACTGCTATTGGTAGACAAACTCTCACACGATACTGGATTCACGGACCTGCACGGCCACGGGGAGCCTTCTGAAAGCTTGTCTCTGATGAGTTTTGAAGCTGAGCGCACTGTGATCGACAGCCTGTGTGCCTGCTATCAAACTCCAAAGTCTCTGCTGCCACAGAGTGTCAGCAGCACGTCGCCCTGTCAGTAGGGCATCAATTGACACCGAGTGCATGCACACACACACACACACACACACACACACACACACACACACACACACACACACACACACACACACACACACACACACACACACACACACACACACACACACACACACACACACACACACACACACACACACACACACACACACACACACACACACACACACGCACACACGCACACACGCACACACGCACACACGCACACACGCACACACGCACACACGCACACACGCACACACGCACACACGCACACACGCACACACGCACACACACGCACACACGCACACACGCACACACGCACACACGCACACACGCACACACGCACACACGCACACACGCACACACGCACACACGCACACACGCACACACGCACACACGCACACACGCACACACGCACACACGCACACACGCACACACGCACACACGCACACACGCACACACGCACACACGCACACACGCACACACGCACACACACACACGCACACACGCACACACGCACACACGCACACACGCACACACGCACACACGCACACACGCACACACGCACACACGCACACACGAACACACGCACACACGCACACACGCACACACGCACACACGCACACACGCACACACGCACACACGCACACACGCACACACGCACACACGCACACACGCGCACACGCGCACACGCACGCGCACACGCACACACGCACGCACACATGCACAGACGTACCCGACACACGCAGTGCAGCTACCACGAGCAATGACTAGCCATGGAGAGGCCGAGCCTTGCTCCATCGGATAGGGAGGAGACATATGATTAACGCGGGTCCAACATTGAGTTTGCTGGGGACGAAGCCCCCTCCGCCTCCCCGCCCAACCCCACATGCAGTTCCAACTACACGGTGCTATTTGCAGTAGTCCGTTGTAAAAGTTCCCACATATGCCGGACCCAGCAGAAACAGATTCAACCTTTTGCGCCCCTAGTCGGTGCTCCGTCCACGTTCAATCAACAAAGTAGCCTTAAGCTGAGCTCGTTGATGGACAAAGACGCTTGGTGGTTTGATGTCGTTTGCTTGACTTTGTTAGTTCGATCGAGCCCTTGTCAGGCGTGGAACAGTGGCTGCACAACCACTGTGGCGTCGTTGATCCAGCAGGCTGAGTTGAACTGCTGACTGAAGAGGTTGAACAGATTCGACTGCAATGGCATCAGCTGGCGTATCCGAAGGCTCTTCACAACGAATGCAATGACATGTTCATGACATCGCAATTGAACGAGATCGCAGGTCTGAGCCGCGTCGTGCACGTCGCCAATGCCGGAGATACCAGAGCTGCGCCTAGTCTGCATTCGGTCGGCAAAGGCCTTTTGCACGACTTGAGCTCAGATGAGCCAAGCACGTGGCACAGGAGGATAATTCAGGATATCTTAGAGGAGTCACCTCGACTGAGTCGAGAAAGAAGGCCTTGAGTCAGACCCCCGTAGAGAGAATGCCGCGGGCAGGAGTTGCTGTGCAAGTACCACAACGAAATTAGATCTGTCAAAACTGGGCTCTGTTGGCTTAGAGAGAGAAAACCTTAAATTCCAAGAGCGGGCTCTTGTTTGTGGGAATGTTGTCCCGTCGGTTGGACAGCATGAGGAACGGAGAGCTAGTCGGGGTCCCAGGTTTCGGCCATGGGGACCGGAGTGTACCGTTGGAGTCCACCGGGAGTCCATCGAAGAAAAAGACGACTTTGTTTGCTTTCGCATGGATACATGGAGCCACAAGTAGATCCCAAAGCTTGCCCGTAGAATGTGTTAAGTAATATGTTGGTGTGTGCAAGACAAGGTCTCACAACAAGGGGGCATCGCTCAGCCGTTAGATGAATACTGAAGATTGGTTTTGGTGTTTGGGTTTTCAGGATTTGTGTTTTCCAAGTGTTTTTTCCTGACTCATGCTGTCTGACTTGTGTCTGTCCTGTTTTCTGACGCGGTTGTTTTGTTTTCGGGCTCGGTTCACTCCGTTTTCGATTCATTTTCCCGACTCACCGGCCGGCCTTTCTTGGAGCTGGCCGACTTGTCAACAGGTTCTCACCTCGCCATCAGACGGCAGTCGACGTGCTGTCTTCTGAGCGCCGCGTCCTTTCATCCCATAAGCAGATTTGTCCGTTCATGTGCTTGAGTTGAGCAGCTGATGAGTTTCGTGTGATCACAAGAGCACAGGTCTACAAAGATCTTCGCGCGAGTGATCCAGACGAGGCATGACGAGTGACCGCCACAAGTGTTCGCCGCAGGCAGATTCGCCAAGTCATCTGACCTCCAACTTGAATGGACCTGAAAAGGCTGAGCTTCAGTGATCTTTGTCTCAACGCCTTCTTCCGAATCTTGCTCGGCCCGGCACGCCTCGGAGGACTTGTTGATTTGAGAGCTGCTTGAACCCCTTGCCCAACCTCGCGAGAATTGATTAGGGTGTAGTTTAAGGTTTGCAGAGCTTACAGGGTTTGGATTTATAGCACGAGCCTCTGCGGATGCAGGAGGGCGGCTTCGTCCGATTCGGACGTATTGGTGGTGCGATGATAAGTTGAAGGCGCTCTGGAAGCCGAGATGCCCCTCAACAACGGGTGTCAGAGGGCTGCAGGAAGTATGGATACGAGGCAATTATGACAGGAATTGCATGATGGGAGCCCTTTTCCGTGCATACTAAACTACATGCATTCCGTTTCTACTGCCAGCACGGTTCTTATCAAAGCTCAGCCCGAACTTCATCAGCTTCATAAGGTCAGACTCTGCCTCATGGTACCAGTGTGAACCTTAAGTGATCGCTGAAAGCAAAAGGTCCTTGACCCAGGCTCCTGGAGAAGGGGTGCTTTGATCCATTTCAGTATCTTATTGCAGGCCGAGGAACCCAATTCCCATGTATACAGGTATAGAACATATGACGAACCAGCACATATTCTCATATAGGGACGGTGCTACACCTCCGAATGAAACAAAACTCGTGACAGCCTCTGCAGCCGCATAGCCTTCGAAAAGCCCTGAAATCTGTGCCCATTCTTGTTCGGTGCTACTTCTCATGTAGTAGCATGTGCGGCGATGATCTTGGAAGGCACAGCCTCACAAGTGATGCGTCCTCTCGTGCTGAGCAGGCATATGAAGACACCACTTTACTTCCTTCCGGATGATGCAATGTTCAGAGGTCGGAACCGATGGAACTGGTGGCAACTACGCCGCCCAGCAAAAGAAAGGTATATGGGTTGAACCTACGTCTCAAGAAGCTCGAGAGCGTGCAGGCCTGGGAGGAAGCCTTGCTGGCTCTGCGCAAGTTTGCAAGGAGCGAGGTGCAGACACGTGTCTCACCAGACGTCATCAGCTTTACCACGACCCTGCGCATTTGCGTTAAGGCAAAGCAGTGGTCGTGGGCCTTACATCTCTTGAGGGCGATGTCGGACTGCGACGTGGCCCCAAATCTAATCACCTACAGCACCGTGATCGATCCGATTCTGCATGGGAGAGGATGGCAGGGTCTCCTTGAGCTGCTGGAAGAAGTGATGGGCAGAGGGTTGCATCCAGACATACAGTTTGCGAATACCAGCATCACCGCCTGCGGCCGGAACAGTGCATGGCCGATCTCCCTTCTCCTCTTCAACCAAGTTGGACGCATGCGCGAACAGGCGCCTCTTGAGAGGCCTGCGTCGCCTGGCCAGCGCTTGTTCTTCTCTCATCTTGAAGCTGACTCTTACACTTTTAACGCAGTGATTTCATCCTGCGCCTACGGCGCTGCATGGGAGGTTGCAGTGGAATGCCTTCGTCAAGCCAAGCGCGGTTCGCCTGACAGCCCGCTCGTCCTCACAGCCGCAAGTTCTGCTTGTGCTGCTGCAAAGAAGTGGGAAAGGGCCTTGGTGCTGGCACAGCGCGCCCGTAGCACACAAAGCGACAGAAGCGACAGGCAAGGTGCTTTAGTCTCCCTGGGTGCCCTTTTGAAAGCTTGCGAGCGTGGTGCGCAGTGGGCCTTGGCTTTCCATACGGCTCTGGCTGCTCAAGACGCCGGTCTGTCAGATGCCGCTGCGTGCTGCGCGGCCGTCAGTGCCTGCGAGAAATCCCAGCAATGGCAGCATGCCATCTCTCTGGCACGCAGCCTCACTTCCCATGGTCTGAAACCTAATGTTTTGCTGTGTGGAGCAGTCGTGAGCTCCTGTGAGTACAGTCAGAAGTGGACCTTGGCCATGCATGTACTTAACTCCAGTGAGCTTGGAGGAGGACATCAGATCCTTCAGGAGCTCGAGGGTAGAAAAGCCGGAGCAGTGATGCCCGTGGCAGCGGCGATGAGCTGCTGCAGCAAGGCCCGGCAATGGGAGCTGGTCCTCCACCTCCTCGGCTGGCTTCAGCATGGCAAGATGGCCGCTGGCCCGGTGGCAACTACCGCTGCCCTGGAGGCCTGTTCCAAGGGGCGCCAGTGGCAGCGAGCCGAACTTCTTCTAGCCCTCTTGCGGACAAGGATGCTGGGAAGCTGCACTGAGGCCGTGGCTGAGGCACAGGTTGGGCGGGAGAGCGCCCTCTTCTCGTTGGACCTCTGTGGCCAAGCGGCGCGAGCAGCCCAATGGCGAGCACAGCGCCGTGCGCCGGTGATCGTGGGCCTGGAATCCACAGGCCCTTTGAATCGAGAGCGCGCTCCACCGTTGGAGCCTCAAACATGCGCAGCCGAAAGCATCGAAGCGAAAGCACTTCGCGTTGCGAGGAAGTTACCCCGAAGGCGACACTCCCCACTACAGCTCTTAGTGCATGCTCGACAGATGCTTGCCAGGATTGCCAGGATCAGAAGCTAGGAGCGAGAGCGAGAAAAGTCTCACTGAACTGATGCAAGTTGCCCCAAACCATAAAAGCTAAACTGGACTGGGCTTTTCAAAACATTGGCTCGTTTTCGTTGCGTAACATCCTCTCCAAGACAAGTTGAGTAACCCCTCAGTGGCCTTGGCAGAGTCTCGCTTTCTCGTGTCAGGCTTCGGAGTTGCCATTGGCCGGCAGGCGTTGCAGAGGAGCACTACATGAAGTACTTGCAGGCAATCTCGGGAAGCCTTCATAATGGGTTCTATTCTTTAAGAATTTCAGAATTACTTTCTGCGACCTTGGTGATGAGAGTGTCTCTCAGTATCTCGTTTGATGCTGGAGGTTGGCGTGATGATGCCCGACATCAATGCTGAGGCTCAACCCAGCTTCGGGGACTGTACTCCAGGTGCCTAAACTTTCAAGTGGCACCCTTTCCCTGGGAGGTCATGCCTGGCCAGTGAGAGATTGTCGGGCCGAGCCGACCCGGGGGCAGCTTGAGCACACGCAGGGACATGCCTTGTGTCATACAGAATATTACAGAATCTATCGCTTGAAAAAAAGAGAGCTCGACGGCATGATCGGCATAGCGCATCATGGAGGTGTGGCCCCCCTGTACCCATCCCTACCCACCAGCAGCCCCACAGCATCCCCCGAAACCTTCAATAGCCGCTAAGGGCTCCCTTAGTTGCAGAGGCGACCCTGGTCTTCATGGTGATGGGCAATTTCGGTATCGCCTTCAGCGACGTGGTCGTTGATGGGCCCCTCAACTTCACATGCAGAGCCCCTTCCGGGCTTCTGAGAGAGAGATCCATTGTTGAAGTTACCTAAGGGGACCCTGATTTAGAAGAGACCCCTGTAGAGAGCTCGCTGCTCAAAGCGTCTTAGACACCGACAGCGCACTTTGCAAGAACCGGGGTCCACTCGACGAGAAGATCAACAAAGCGGCTCTAGGGCCTGAAGCTTCCGAAAGAAGAGCAAAATGTACCCTGTGCCCCCCTCACGTGGAGGCGAAACCTGCAAACCCTGAACCCTGACCTCGCCTCAAACACCTTAGCCGCAAAACCTCCTCAACCCCAACAGCCCGACCCAGGTTGGTGGTGGAAAAGGCCCGTGATGATCCGAAGCTCATGGGTGGCCTCCAGTCGTTCAGCCGGGGACCCGGTTGAATTCTTCCAACTTCTGGCTGGAGAACCTGGTGCCCGGTCCCATTTTCAAAGTAGGCTTTGGCATCCCACAGCCCCCTATTAGACCCTGCAAGCTTGAACTCTAAGCCTGTATTTGGCGATGATGTGACTACCCATGCCCTGGCCGACAAGATCCGACAAGGAGGTTGACAGAAGTTGAAAGTTTTCACGGCTGGCCCGCGCAGGTGTAGAACGACAGCTTCGGGTTTTGGGGTGCTTCGTACTTCTTGGGCTCTTTTGGAAAGAAGAATCTAGGTTCAGGGCTGCCCTCGGCGGCCTGGGTGGTGAGCCTGTGCGGATGTAGCTGTTGATCTGTGTCCGAAGGGCAGCCTCATGCCGACGCCGACGGATGTAAGCCAGTGAGTGGGCGATGAGTGAAGGTACGTTCCTCAAGGCTGCGTCCGCGGGCGAAACTCACAAGGACCTCGACGCAAACGTGACAAATACGCTAAGTCTCCCGCAGCCTTCGGGCTGCTCTTGCTGGCCTCCGGAAGTGGTGCAGAAGCTTGGGAGCTTCCAGGCTAGGTTGTTGGACGCAGCTTCGTGGGGTCGGGGGCCCCATGAGAAGAGCAACTGGCTTATTCCAGGATCTATCCTGGTCGGTGGTTGGCCCTACCGGTTGCCCAGAGGCCGGGGCTCATCAGGTGAGTCGGCAGAGGAAGGGGTGGCAAAGCTACATAGCATCCTCGATGCAGGAATCAACACCTTTGTATCGCTTACTGAGGATGCTGAAATTCGAGGCAAAGCCTACTGCTTTAACAGCTTCCAGAAGGCTGCAGAAGGAAGGTACCGTGAGCTGCATGGACCCCAAAGGCAAGCGAAGCGAGCGGGTTTGGAGATCCGCTTCTTGACATGTCCTATGGTGGACGGAGGCACCTGTGAAGATGAGAAACTATTCCAACTGCTCGTTGGCCTTCTCGCAGAGCTACGGGCATCCCGCGCTGTCTACATTCACTGCTACGGAGGGCATGGGCGAACTGGCATTGTGGCATGTTCTATGTTGTGCTTGCTGTGGCAGATTACACCGCTGGAAGCTGTAAAAATCTTCAATCACTTGCACTCCTTTCGAGTCGAGTGTGGCGTTGGTGGGCCAGGTCAGTTTCCGCACAGTGACGCACAGCTTCGTCAGGTCGAGCGCATGTCCGGGCGCCGTGCCCAATTTGAGGCTCACCTGATCCCTTCCGAGCAGTTTAACTTAGCCGCGCTTCAGGTGTCGCGCACCGAAGCTCCAGCTCTAGAGTTTGAGGTGCCCTGACATACGACTTTTGTGGCTATGTGGATGCGGCTAGACTCTACAACATTCCCATCAGTTCCTATCTGAAGCAGTTGTTTGCTGCTGCTGACGACCGACCCAGACGTGCGTCCAACATGCAAATTGTCTCAAGCGCACTGCATTGCGGCGATACCTCGTCCTGAACCATGTAAGAGGCAGAGCGACGCAAGCATGCACGAGCATGCCGCTTGCACTTCAAGTCGTATCGGAACCTGAGATGATTTTGGAATTTTGGACGTCGCTCGTGGCAATGCTCTTTCGGTGTATGGAAAGCTGCCCAGGCAAACAGCCAACAGTGTCGGAAAACCGGCCGAGCCTACTCAGAAAGATCTCAGCTCAGTTAAGTCGTAGCACCGTTAAGGGCTTTGGGAGTTTCGGGTTTTAGGGCGATAACTCGCAATACCAATGAGAGGTAGTAGTACTAACAAGAAGAACTCAGAGTTCGGCTTTTCGAGTGAGTCCAGGCGAAATGTTGCGCGACTGGCTTTCCAAACAAAATCTCTGAGAACCGGTCAAGAGATAGTCATGATGTTGTTTCTGATCGTTGGACTACTGCCAGGTGTGAGAATCAAGTGTGGTTCCGACACCGATTGCGTTGCACTACTCTGAAGGAGCAAGAGCTCCTAAGTGCATGCAGAATCTGACGGCGTGTGCCGGGCGTCCGAAGCGAGTGGCCCTGTTACATCGGTCCAGCGGTGATTGCTCAGGACTGCAGCCAGGGCCATGCAAGCTTAGAATGCTTAGAAGCCTCCCGTCGCTTTGCGGCCGCCACAAAAGAAATTTCCAGATCGAGATCTTGCTTGCAGGACTTTAGAATCCGGAAGCCTTAAGCTGCAAGTATCCATCATGTTGACCCCCCATTTCATGGCTCCTTCCCGTGCCATGTGGTGAATGTATCAGCACTAGGGAAGCTACAGGGTTTAAGCCTTAAGCTTCAGCAGATTTGCGCTGGGTGTCTTCAGACCACTCCTCTCCGCAGGCAGTGCCCTGACCCCCCTAAACTCCAAAGCAGGCCGCCTGACAAACAAGACCTCAAAACGTTAAATCTCTTGGGACCATTAAGCCCAGAACCTCGACCCTCATATCCAAGGCTGGGCCTGTCGAGGCTTCGGTGCGATCCTGTCAGCGCACCTCGACCTCACCGGAGAGCGAGAAGCTACGGTTTACGAGTTGCGGTGGGTTCAGGATGAGAGTTTCGGGTTTCCAGCCTTCCCTGAGTTTCGCCCTTGGCTTGGAACTTGCTTCCTGTGCTCGGCCACAAGCGGAAACACATGTTCGAAAAACGAACAATACCCATTTCCTCTGAGCGACTCCGCGATGCCCTCATGAGACTGGCGTGGGAGGAGATCCTTGCATGCGGAAGCCTACCATAAACGTTACCTATCAGGGCTCCCCATTCCGAACAAGCTCTTAGGTACTTCAGTGGAGCTCTACTGGAAATGATCGGAGCCGTACACCCAGCTTGTGATGGTCCGGTCATGGTAGGAGCCGGATTCCAACTAGTTGATCAGAGCTTCAGCGATCTGACAGGGTGAGTAACACTTCCTGCGTCGCTCTGCCGCAAGGTCGAGCAGGTCTTTGCTGTGACAGCGCTGCTGCCACTGCTGGTCATCGTGGCAGCGGTGCCATCTGCTTGCTGTCATGGGCACGGTGTTGTTGCTGGTGGTTTTCTGAAGGCAGACTGAGATGTCTAGTCTAGTCCGCTTACGTCAAGGTCGTTCAAGGCGACAACCAACCCACCCCCACCCACCCACCCACCCACCCACCCACCCACCCACACTTCGGGATCTCCCTACACATGTAGGGGAAGGCAGAAATATCGTCAATGGTGGAGCTGCCAGCTGCTATGCTAAGCCCAGGCACACTTCCAGTTTCATGAGCTGCCAGCTGCTCTGCCAAGCCCAAGCACGCTCGAATTTGCAGGTACGTTTCCAGCACCACACTGTTAGGCTCTTCGTTGGCCGCCCCCTAACAGTGGGTGGAGCGGCCCCCTGCGTACGTCTTAAATGAATTCAAAAACGACTGATGTGATTTGCTCCGACCCTTGGTCCAACAGGGTTTTGTGCACACACACACACACACACACCCGGCCCGTTCCATGGACCGGTGTGGCAAAAATCTCACGGACATCCTCCCTGCAGCTGCGGAGCCGAGCCTTTTTTGAACATCCATCGTGCAGCACCCATGCTGACTGAGTGAGAGCATCTCTAACAAGACAGTCGAAGATCATGCCTGCTGCAAACTGCTTAGCGAACGTTGCGGAATCGTTTGGCGTTTGCTGGAAGCGCTTGGCACAACTCATTGCGCACAAAAACATAGACTTAAATATTTCTGGGAAAGGGCACGAATTTGACCGGGCACATCCTTTTTTGGATACACCTGTGTTGCAATGATCAAAACGCGCGCCCGAAAACTAGCCAGATTTGCATTTGCAGATCCAGCGCTTTGCGGGACCCGGGACCCGATAGTTCCAAGCGTCGTTGGGAACATGGAAATCTACACGACGGTCGTACACAGACAGACGGCAACCCAACAGTTCTTCAATCTCACAAGCCTCCAACACAACAGGTGGACCATAAAAGGTGGGGTCCACCAGCGCTGAGAAAGCTGCATTGTCGACGTATCGGAGGAACCAACATGCAAGCTTGTCAGATGCCCAACACTGCCTCACCCAACAATCCTCTTCCAAGCAAACAGCCAAGTTATACAAACTTGGTGACACCTGGTTGCCAATTGGACTGCCTCGTTTTTGCGAGAACGGCCGGCCCAAAACAGTAAACGATGCAAAGGAAAAGGATAACTGTACAATTTTGAGGACGTCACCCTGGAAAACTTGTCGGCACGTGGATGGTCGGTTTTTCATCGGCTTTCCACGTCGTAGGACTCGGCCGTGAGAAGATGGCGAAGTTTCATAGGCCGTGAACCAAAAGTCACTGCGACACTTACCTCCAGATTGCTTGTTCTCGAAGAACCGGTTCAAGGCAATCTCACAAGCACGACTTACTTTTATCTGGCTTTGTCAAGCAGTTTTTTTTTTTATTTTTTTTTATTTTTTTTTTTTTTTTACGTTTTTGGGGGCTGCACGGTATGGAAGTGTAAAAGTACACGTAAACGTCAATGTGAATGTAAGCCATTGACTGGTTGCTCGAAGCAAAAACCGGTTGCTCGCAGCTGGTAGTTGCTCAGGGCAAGATAGTTGCTCGAGGCATCAATTGACATCTTCCACCAACAATTTGCACACCGCGCAAGAAGAACTTGGCGTAGACTTGTCCCCATGCTGTTAAGCCACCAAGAGCTTGCAACTCGGCGACACATCCGCATCGAGAATGTTTGTGGCCATTGAACGGTGACAGTCCACCAATGCCTTTTGTTAACTTCTCCTCTTCTTACCACAGGTATGAACTGAACATCATCAGGCCTGTGATTTTTTGTTTTTGTTGTTGGGCGCCCTCCAAGGGCTCACGACAATGACCGCATACGGAAGCATTGCCGAAACACACTTCGGGATCTCCCTACACATGTAGGGGAAGGCAGAAATATCGTCAATGGTGGAGCTGCCAGCTGCTATGCTAAGCCCAGGCACACTTCCAGTTTCATGAGCTGCCAGCTGCTCTGCCAAGCCCAAGCACGCTCGAATTTGCAGGTACGTTTCCAGCACCACACTGTTAGGCTCTTCGTTGGCCGCCCCCTAACAGTGGGTGGAGCGGCCCCCTGCGTACGTCTTAAATGAATTCAAAAACGACTGATGTGATTTGCTCCGACCCTTGGTCCAACAGGGTTTTGTGCACACACACACACACACACCCCAAAATGCGTCTCCAACAATGGAATGATGTCTTTACCTGTTCCATGTGGGCTTAGGACTTCGGAGTTCCACTTAAGGCAGTTAATTCGGGTTGCTGCAGGTGCTCATTCGGGAGCCCGCACAGCCAAATCCCAGCAGCAGCTATGCCTTGGATTGGGACGAGGCCTGGAATCCTGGAATCAACATGTCCTTGTTTGGGGGTTTACAGTCTAGAATTCGGGTTGACCACCACCCTGCGATTTCGTGAGCGTTCGAGCTCATTCCAGGCAGTCGGTGGCTTAGACCTTGGGCCAAGATTCAAGATGGTTTCGCCGCAAAGGGTTCTCGCCGTGTTTTTTATGCGTTTCGGGGTTTTGTGTTGGAGTTTGCTTAAATCCAACGCCTTCGGTGGCTGGGGTGCATGTTGGGAGGTATGACGCTGTGCTCACGTGTCCTCGAGTTTTTCCCCGCAGCTCCTTTCACCTTTGAGCGTTTCGCATAGGCATTCAAAGCAGGCAAGCTGTGAACAATTAGTAGCTTGTCTTAGCTTTTGCCTTTTTGGACGAAAGCGAAGAAAACCTACAAGTTGTTCACAGCGGGCTCTCTTTCGAAACAAGGCTCCCGTCAAGGCGAAACGCCCAATGTCGAAAAGAACCCGCTCTCGAGTCTTTTTTGGCATGTTCGCCTGTCTTTTTGCACTAGCTTCGCACACTGAGGCTCGGCAGCTTGGCCAACAGGTGTGGGAGGCCTTAGCGCCGATTCACAGTGACAACCCCAAAACGTTAAGATTCAGGGCCTTGGCTTTCCCAAACCATGAACCCCAAAGAACATTCTTGAGGGATTGGGTCCAGATTTCGACAGCATCAGTCTTCCGCCGTGAGTGGTGCAAGCATGTATGGTATGCAGGGTCCAAGGTCCAGCGTCCAGGGGGTCTTGAGCTTCGACTCACTTCTAAAGTCGTATTCTGTATTTTGGCTTTTGGGAGCTGCTCTGAGTTCGGGTCCCCTTTGTTGATAGTTGGGTTCTTCGAACACGTGTTTCAAAAGACAAATCAACAATAATCAACAGACCAACCCCATCATTGTCGTGACCATGGGAATGCCGAGACTCTGAAGTTGAACAGGGGGACGGGCGTTTCAGGATTTCTTGCGTTCTGCATTCGGATGTCGCGATGCTGGCATCGATGGAGTCTCTTATGGTTCAAGGCTTACCAGCCTTCCTTCTCCATTATCTGTATTTGATACACAATACATATACCCTATGTACATACATGCTCTGGATACTTATTCTCCTTTCTCTTTGCATTTCCGCTGGAGGCAAGCCTTACAAACATGGGCCATGACATGGACGTAAGCCTATGGGATTTAAAGTTTAGGGATTTAAGTTTCAAGCCCTATAGGGCCATTTAAATTTTAATCCTATGGGTAATGCCTAAAGCCTGAACCTTAAAAACCCTATAACCCCGTAGAGGTTTTAGAGATAAACCCTGCAAAGCCCCTAAAGCCTTTCAGCCCCAGGGTTTAATGGTTTAAAGACCTAAGATCTGGGCATGTATACCTTCAGCGCTTGTAGGGTTAAAACCATTGAACCTTCTAGACCCTAAAGGGTTTTAGGGTTCTGACCAGGTCGCAACATGAAGTGAAGGAAGGTTTGGGGCAGGTTGCCTCGAGAACGCTGAATGTCAAGATTCAGCGCAGCTGCCCTATGTTGTCCAACTATCTGCAACCGCAGGTGATTCGCGCACCAGAGGTCTTCCCAGCTGTTTGCTTCATCCTCGCATGGCAGGCACGGGCACTGTGTCGTTTTGCTTCAAGTTTTCGCGTCCGAAGTCGCACTGCCACGCACAAAGCTTGCTTTGGGTTGTGAGGCGTCTGCTTGGGAAAATGCCTGGGTTTGTAGCACCCAGATGTCCCTGAATTCCAGAGCACTGCGTGCTGGCACACTTGCAAGGCCACTCCAACAGCGGGCTCGGCGAGACTTGGCTGCAGAGATGCGGCTGCACCCTAAACCCTAAAAGCCTCAAACCTAAACCCTCAAACCTAAACCCTAAAACCTAAGTGCTCCCAGTCAAAGATCGGTGGTAGGAGCTTCAAGAACCCTCAACTCTTGGAGGTACATCGCGACGCGAGGCTTTCCCGCTACACTTCTGTTCACAGAACCTTAAACCCTAGAAGTAAAGATAGGACTACCGGTTATGCCCCATGAACCTTCAGGACCTTCTTCTTCTATACCAACGAGCTCCACTTCAATCCCGAGTTTTTGGGCCGCTCGCAGCTCGTGGGATCGCTGGCGAGCCTCTTGGGCCTGGATGTGATGGGCAGGTTAGGGGTTACTAGGGGGTTGCTAGGGATTATTAGGGGTTATTAGGAGTTACCAGGGGTTGTTAGGGGTCATTAGGGCCCAGGGATGCAGAGGGATTTTTGGGCTTCGAAGGTTTAGCTTTCAGAGTGGAGGGATTTATGATTTCTAGGGCTCAAGGGGAAGGGTTTAGGGTTCAAGGTTTCAGGGCTTCGGGGTTAAGACTGCCCTGCAATGTGTGCATGTGGAAGATGGGCTTGGAGCTGAGGGGAGCCTTACCGTAACCCTTCATTCTACAACCTCCCGGAAAACCACCATGCCCCATCTCAAGCTCGGTTTCATGAGGCTTGGCCGGCATCGTTCTGTACAACCGCCTGCAACTTATCCATTGATCGCCAGGGCAGTTGTCGCCAGCAGCAGCAGAAGAAGAGAACCCCAGTTGAAGCTCTCGACCCTCAACCCTTGTACCTCAAACCTGCACTCGCGATTTTCGGCTCCAGCTCCTCATATTATCTTAACATGTTATTATATGGTTATACTCGTAGATTAATGCATTAGTATATTTGTATAGTAGTATATTAGTAGATTGGTATATTCGTACGTCAGTATATTGGCATATTAGTATACTCGTACTTTAGTAGTTTAGATTCTTGTAGTTTCGTATATTAGCACATTCTTACATACTCATATTCCTGTATTGTCAAGCTCTTGCATTCTTATCTCAGTAGATCATGGCCCGGGTGAGGGCCGAGGCAAAGCTGCGCGCGGCAGAGCAGGCCGCTGCGGCACTGGGGCTTCTTTTTTGGGAACCCAACAAACCCCCCCCCCCCCCCTTGGCAGCATCCCTTGAGCCCCCCCTGAGATTTGGGGTTTAGGGTTTAGGGTTTAGGGTGTATAGGGCTTAGGGTTTAGGGTTTCGGGCTTCGCCCCAAACTCCTAACCCCTTCCACCTCCTCTGAAAGGGCTCGAGCCTAAGGCCATCCACCAAGAGTCCCCAAGACTCGCCGGGTGAGGGTGTGAGGATTCGGAAGCTTCCGCTCAACGCGTCGGGGATTGCCTCAGGTCGAGTACTTGCCGGAGCTGCGCCCCGTGGTCCTCGCTTGGAATCTCTTCAATAGCCCCTCAGCTACTCTTGCGCTTGATCTTGAAACATGTAAAGAATCGCCAGGTTGAAGCCTGTGTGAACCTCGAATGTGTGAAGGAGGTGCACACTCACAAGCAACAAAGGCTTCCAGTGTAAAATCTTCACTTAGTAGCTCGTATCGCTCACCCAAGGCACTGCGAAGGTGGCGCCGAAGGCCGAATACCACAGCATTATGGGGGATGCTCGGGGAGTCTTACCTGCTCACGCTTGTAGGGTAGGGGTAGGATAGGCAGGGCAGGTGGGTTAGGTATGCGATGGTATGCGCGGGTTAGGGTAGGTAGGGTAGGTAGGGCAGGTAGGGCAGGTAGGGGAGAGCCTCAGGCCGATGGACCACCACCTCCAGACCCGAAGGCGCCAGGGGTTTCAGTCACTGCACACTGCTTTATCGGAGTTCGTGGAGCCGTGTTCATTGGGTTTTGGACGATATGGGATAATGTTTGATTTATGGGGCTGTGCTTAAACATGTTTAAACTCTGACCTTTGCATGAGTCATCCCGGGTCAGCAGCGCGTCATGAGTCGCCGTCCCACGTTCCTTCACGTCGTGTGTCTTCACCTGTCTTCACTATGTTTGTTGCCTGTCAATTCACGGTTCCAGGTTCTACAAGAATCCAATGATCAGACAGGCATGCCGCAAGCCAGCAAGTAAGCTCAGACTCGAGCCGCAAACAAACCCCAAGCCCGAAGTCTTCAACTGCATCACCCAAACCGCCAGGTAAAACCCATCTCAGCCCCAAGCCAAACTGACCCGTCCGAAAGCCTAAAAACACCTGCCCACAAGCCCCGCGAGCTTGAAATAAACGAAGTCCTGACAGGACAACAGCAACTTCCAAATGCAGTTATATATAAGGTCTGTGACCACATGATGTAGATCGGCACGGCACGATCGGCGCGGCATTGTCTCAACTGTGCCAGATAGAGCTCATTGTTCTCAGCGACGCAGCGCGCAACTCTGACGTTCCTTGGCGCTCGTCTTGGTGCAGCTCCGCATGAGATGATAATCATAGGGAAGTGTGTTAGCAGGGGCAGGCTAGCCTTCCTTGTCGCGTAACACATGTTCCATGCGAATACTCACAGGAACAAACATGTTCCGACAAGGCCTCCAACAAGAAAGAGCCGAAGTCCTCGGCGCGGACGCCTGCAACGCGGTGGAGACATTTCCTACAACCCCCATGCCCTACAAATTCGTAGCGAATAAGACAGGGAGACATGCTGCTTCGTGTCGCCGGTCACGTGGATACAGGCAACAGATGCATCGAGCTCTGCTGCAGCGAGCTCTACTGGAGTGCGTTCTTCGCAATGCCCTCCCAAGATGAGTGCTTCTCGTCACAAGCTTGACGCATCACAGTCCCAAAGCCCACCCTTTGGTGATGTTGATGTTGATCTCAACATCCTATATGTCATGCCAGGTAGGATGGGGTCACAGCGAAATCTTCACGGCAACTCGATAGGCCATTGCACTTTGGAGTTCAGTTCTGGACACCATGTAAACACACAGCCCACTCCCTCTTGAAATGAGATTCGACTGAAATGTCATCCATCGCTGTCCTGCAGCACTTGCCATATCCAAAGCAGAAAGCACATGGAGGTAACTGGAAATGTCCAGGACCCCATACTGGGTGGCATAGCATCTCATTCCCTCCTTCATCGCACATGCAAGGGCTTCAGAAGCCTTCAGACTAGTTCAAACTTAGACGTCTCTGTTTGATACCGTTTCATTTGCCTCTCCGAGGCATTTCTTGGAATCCCAAAACTGACGCCTTGATGACATTGATCGGAATGCTGACCTCTAAAGCCCTAAACCGAATCGATCCCTAAACCAAATTCAGCCAGCTAAACCCTGCCTTGAGTGCTATCCCGAGCATGGACTCGATTTAAGGCAGTCCCGCCTGCGGAGCCAGCCAAGGACAACAGGCGCCGCTTCCGAGCGGGGGGTTTAGAGTTTATGGTTTAAGGCCCCTCTGAGTCCTTCAGTTAATCCTCTAAGTGGAGTCGAGGGTTTCTGGCGAACGGAGTTGGGACTCTTTTCACTGGGAGCTTGCAGCAGCAAGAGACAGCTTCGTGAAACAGTTCGCAGAGAATCATGACTGGGTTTAGTGGGACCTGAACTCAAAACTACTAGGTGTTAGTGGGGACTTATGGGCGCTACATTCCGGGGCACCTCCTCTAAGAATTGGCTAGTATAAGCGTAAACTCTCTTCTTTCGCAGGCTGCAGGAAGCAAAGACGCTGGTAGATCGCATTCTGCGCATTCTCCACTCCGGCCGCTCTCTGACTGAATTTATTCGGACATGCCAACTTCCGGACTGACATATGCACTCATGTCTAAACATGTGTACATAGAGGCAAAGATATGCTGACATACACTCCTATCTGCAATAGTGTTGTTTGCGTGTACTTTCATTCTCATGCTGCACTGCTATTGCAACATATCACCCTCGAAGGCAGCCAGTACAAATGGATTGAAGTCTTCGAGCTGGAGGAAGGCTTTGAGCCGAAGCTCTTGGAGAGCAAGAAGCGAATCCTGGCCAAGAGACCTTAGAGTTCAGGGGACCAGCCTTTGCACATCTGGGTGGCTTTTTTTCCCTGCCACTTCTCGTTCTGTGTACCTGCATTCCTTTCCTGCAGCTTCGCGTCTTAAGCGTTCCCCATCAGAACTCCAGCGTCGTTCTGGGTTTACAAAACAAGCTCTAGGTGGGTTGACCCCCTAAGGCCCGGTATTCTGTAAGGGGTGGGGGGGGAGGACCCATCTGAGCTGGCGCTGTGATGATTGTTTGCCAGTGTTTGCCAGTAAAGTTTGCTTAGGCATGTTCAAGCAGGAGCGTTTGGCTCTTGAATGAGGAGGAAGTGGAGGAGGCCAGAAGAAGGAAATGAGGAAATTGTGGAAAAGATGAGGAAAACACAAGAAGGTGTAGAGCACTTGTGCGCGTAGTGACACGTAAGAGCACGGAGTGGGCGCAATGCCGCAGCGAGGGGCTGCTCGAAGCCGTGAGATAGGCTGAGCCGAGCCCCGAGCCTTATTGGCACTCCTTGCGAAACACAGTGGGAGTGCCCGACACGCCGGCGTATCATGGGATAGATGCCTTCGTGCACCTTGCCCGGAAAGTGCGTCGACCTGGTGATGAGTCAGAAGCGTCGTGTCAAAGAGGGGGGCTTGGATCATGAGGCCGCCTATCGCCAGCTTCCTGCTGAAGAGCCAAATCACACCTACGTGATCCTGAACACGCCGCAGGGCCCATCTCTATGGCGGCACAATGTGTTGCTTTTCGGCAGCACCGCAAGTGTGTGGTCATACTGTCGCGTTGCTGACTTCATGACATGGTTGAACCGATGTGCGCTTTTACTCCCGATGCTGCATTTCGTTGACGACTTCGGCTCTGTGGAGACAGATGACTTGGCCGAAAGCGGCTTCGAATCGACGCAGCAGCTTGGCGGCGCCTTGGGTCTAAAATTTAAGGATAGTAAGGAGCAGCCGCCAGCTCGACAGCACAAGCTCCAAGGGGTGACCGTTACGCTCGCAGATGACGAGGCGACTGTGGCCATGCCGGAGGTGCGGGCCGAGCGCATCGATGCCCACTTGAAGCAGATCCTCCTCGACGGCCAGCTCTCCCCCAAGGAAGCTTCCTGGTTGGCTGGGAAGCTACAGTTTGTCGCCCAGTCTCTCTTTGGCAAAGCCAGCGCAGCAGCCCTACGACCCATATACAAGCGGGCACAGGCAGGTCACTTTCGTGGTTCGCAAGGGAAGTGGCAGCTGTCCGAAGCATTGAGAGAGGCGATTGGCTTTCTTCGGCTTCGGCTTCAACGCAGTCGGCCACGGGTTGTCCGCTACGAGGTAGAGGAGAGGGCAGTGATCTATGCAGACGCGTTCCTCGAGTTGGATGGGAAGCGGTACAAGCCAGCTGAGATCGAGACAGCGCCGACCTGGGGAAGCAGGCCGCCAGCGTCCTTTGTCAATGGCTGGGGCTTTGTAGCAACGATCGGCCAGCGGACCTTTTTCGCTGCAGGCTCAGTGCCCTTCTGGTTTGCGAGGCATTTCGCCTCCAAGCGGGCCTACATTTACATGCTCGAAGTGGTGGCTCAACTCCTTCCGTTGCAGGCCGTACTACCAGCGCGTCTGCTGCTCTTTGTCGTCAACGAGTCAGCACGCCATGCACTAACCAAAGGTTTTGGAAATTGCCGGAACCTCAATCGGCTGCTGCAAGTTGCCTGGCAATTCTTCGAGAAGCAAAGTTGGTGGCCAGTGTGGCAACGTGTGGCTAGCTCCGCAAACGTAAGTAATGGGGTAAGTCGATTCGACTTTGCTTTCACCTACGACCAGGGTTGGGAGTGGTGTGCCAGCGAGTACGAGAAGTTCTTTCGCCGCCTCCTGCGCGCTGTCGAGGCATCCCGTCTGAGGAGCTTTGAGCTTGTTGTTTTGGCTAGGGCTGTTAGGGCTGTCCGGTGCGAGATCATGGTGGCAGGCGTCGCACCTATGGCGACAGTCGCCTGTCGCCCTGCGCAAACTTTGAAGGCAGGTGCGAGCAGGACGAAGTCAACGCCGCCTGCTGAAAGCTTCCAAGAAGAGAGTCGTTTGCATCTCTGATTCTCTGCGTCATGTAGTGCTCGTGTGTCGTGTAGAGCACTTGTGCGCGTACTGACACGTAAGAGCACGGAGTGGGCGCAATGCCGCAGCGAGGGGCTGCTCGAAGCCGTGAGATAGGCTGAGCCGAGCCCCGAGCCTTATTGGCGCTCCTTGCGAAACACCCACCCTCACCGCCCTACAAACAGTGGGGCGTGACAGTCGCCTGTCGCCCTGCGCAAACTTTGAAGGCAGGCGCGAGCAGGACGAAGTCAACGCCGCCTGCTGAAAGCTTCCAAAAAGAGAGAGTCGTTTGCATCTCTGTGTCTCTGCGTCATGTAGTGCTCGTGTGTCGTGTAGAGCACTTGTGCACGTAGTGACACGTAAGAGCACGGAGTGGGCGCAACGCCGCAGCGAGGGGCTGCTCGAAGCCGTGAGATAGGCTGAGCCGAGCCCCGAGCCTTATTGGCACTCCTTGCGAAACACCCACCCTCACCGCCCTACAAACAGTGGGGCGTGACAGTCGCCTGTCGCCCTGCGCAAACTTTGAAGGCAGGCGCGAGCAGGACGAAGTCAACGCCGCCTGCTGAAAGCTTCCAAAAAGAAAGCCGTTTGCATCTCTGGTTCTCTGCGTCATGTCGTGCTCGTGTGTCACCAAACGTTAAAACTAAAGCCGTTAAGCTCGTCTGCATGCCATAGCCCGGAAGCAGTATAGTAGAATGTTTGTTTGATTTCGGTTTTTGTATTTTGATGTTTGGCAAACGGCCGCTGCCAGCTTGTGCTACATTGGCAACCGTCGAGGAACTGAAACAAACACGCCGACTTGGACCTAATGCATTCAGGGCGACTTTGTCATGTCGTCGTTGCCACGTTGATAGTCGGCCCTGAAAACACAGCTTGTGGTTAACTGCAAACTCTTCCAAAGTTAGTTTCGTCGGGAATTTGTCCTCTGCTCGGCAGAGCTATTGTGCCGGCAGCTCGAAGCAGGCTGTTTTTACGCAGCAAAGCCGTTCTAGAAGCGGGCTCACGAGATCTGGCAGAAGAGTCGAAGACAACGGACCAAAAAATGCAAACTTGTTTTGCCAAACATCTGTGTTTTTGTCCCCACCTTAAGATGCTGTTGTGGGGTGCTTTGCTCCACAACCTTTCTTTCAAGCTAGGCCCGACCTTCAGGCCATCAAGCATTAAGTTTCCGAATTGCATCCAGAAGCCACCCCGAACCTCAAACTTGGCGGCGAAAGCAGAAAGGGTTAGGGTTTAGGGTTTCGAGATTCGGGGTAGTCGAAATCCGAGCGGATGCAGGACGACGCCCGGCACGTATGAATTGGTAGTAGAGGCACCTAGTATCTACAGTTGGAGTTCGACACTCCCCAATCATGCTCGTGTGACCTTTTGAGAGGATTCGATTCTTCTGCGTTTGCTACCGCTGGCGTTCTCAGGAACTATGGCCCTGCGTCTGCATCCAGACAAAGTCGACGAGGAAGTGGCGCAATACTGCGGCGGTCACGACAGAGTGAAAGAGGCATACCACTTCATGGATCAGGTGTCCTGGATCAAGTAAGCCCTTCTTTTTCCAAACACGAACCCGAAACACCCTCCGACCCCTTCAACAAAAACAAGCCACGTGGGGAGTTCAGCACCGACCCAGGCCTACAAGAACGCCAAGACTTGGATGGTGGAAGCTCCTCCTTGGGACCGGCGCCTTTGGATATTCAGCTTCAGAGCCCGTGGAAGACCGAAGCTCCCTCAACCTGCAGGTTCAGGGTTCAGCGCTTAGAGTTCTACATCAAGGGTTCAGGGCTCTGGATACATAGTTCCAGCCTTCAGGAAAGCCATGCAAGCTAATAAAAATCCAAAGCCTTTGCGCACCAGAGCTTCGAAACGCGAAGCCTGGGTTTAGGGTTTCGGGCTCGGGTTTTGTGTTTCCCCCGTCCCCCGCCCACCCCCTCCAAGCCTTCGGAAGCGCTGCAGGCCTCCATGGCATCGTCCGAGGCAGCAGCCACAACCTGCACCTCATCCGAAGGCCGAGCTATTGGGTAGGGCTTTCCTTTTTCGGATCCTGGGTCTCTGCGACTACACGGCCGCTCACGCTTCGTAAAATGACCATGGGATTCTTCCTTGCTCTGGCCACTCAGTGCACGCACTCGCGTTTTGGAGCCAGCCTCGCACATTTCCGCAGCTGCCGGGCCACCTCAACGGCCGGAGTACGTACCTGAGGGGTGGTCCAACGAGCACAGTTGTTTCCGCGTTTCCTTTCTGCAGGCTGCGCAAAGATTCCGTGGTTGACAGGGGCGCACATACTAAAGAAACGATGGTTGCAGCATTTAACTTAGGCCTGTTTTGCACTGGGCAAGCTTTGAAAGGATGGGATGGAGAGCTTAGTTTTGGAGAAGAATGTTCATGGAGGCATGGAGGCATGCTTCCAATCAGGCCTATCCCGCAAGCACCTTCAGCTCATTCCCTTCCCAGGCCGGGAGGTGCAATGTTTGCGGAGACCTGTTGCAACAGAACCTGAAATGCAGAGACGGTGCAAACGACTTCTGCGCACCAACACCAGAAAGCTCATGTTGCACTCATGTTGCCGCGAGGCCGCCCCGCGCCCACCGTGGCAACCAGAGATGCGTGGCTGAACAGCTCCACCCACCATTTGACCCCCTGAATTCTGCAACCCTCTGACCCTCCAAAACAAGCCTCTCAAGGACCCCAGAAGCCGTAGAAACCCCCTATGAAATCCCAAAGATCTCGACCTCGGACTTGGGGCCTCGACGGCTTTCCACTCAGCCGCCAAGGCACAGGTCAGCGGGGCCATTCACGAGCCCATCGAGTAAGCCGAGGCTGGCGGGTAAGGTTTTGGGGGTGCTTCCGGTAGGCCTTGATCCTTGATGCAAGTGGAAACTCGAGTTGTAAGCCTCCGGACGCCGAACTGCTTTGCTCAATCTCCTGGACTGCGCCAGGCCTCCTTAACCCTCTCGACGCCGAACTCCTTGCTTCAATCCTGTCATGGACTGCGCGAGGCCTCCTGCCACAGATGTGCCTGGACTGCACAACCCTAAATCCAAAAACTGTGGAGGGCTAGGGTGCGACCATCCAGGGATTCAGGGTGCCCAGATAAGCAGCTTGGACAAAGTCTGCGAGACGTGAAGCCATATCTTGGCAAATCTTTCCCATAGCCGGTAATTCCGAAACGCCACACACTCTCAGCCTTAGACTTCCCGAACGTCACTCCATAACTCTTCAGGCCTAAACTGCACTCCCGGACACGGCATTCTGATGCATTCTGAACTCGTCCGACGATCCCCAACCTGCACCGAAGCCACGAAACGAGACGCGTTGTTCTCCGAGCAGCTGAGGGACCCGAGACAAGCAGCCTGGACGCAGAGGGGTTGTCCTCGTAGTTGAATGGTGCAACATCTGACGTTGAGAGTGTAGGTTTCGGACCCCACTGGGCTTGAGAAGCAGTGACGTCGCGCATAGGTTGTTGTTCACGACAACTCACGGCACAAGATCATTCTCCACAGCTCATGTGATTGCGTTCTCTTGGAAGCTGAGGCCGCATGGCTGAGACTTTCATGCGATCCAGTGGCAAGTCCTAGCAAGTGCAGTGGAAGCGTTCGGGTTCGACGTAAAACGGGTTGTGTGAGCGACAGCTGCTCTGCCATTTTAAGCGGAAGTCCATGACGAGATAAACAGTCCTAACTCCCATACAACCCTGTCGGGCACAGCTCAAACGGCTCCAGCCAATACTATCTGCGGCGCTGCACTCCGGCAAGGGTTATAGGGCCGAAAGGTCCTATGGGGTTTACATGCTTTATAGGGGCCTGAGGGTCTGCAGTAGGGTTTATAGGACTTAGGGGCTTTGGGTTTAAGCCTTAAGCCACCCAAGCCCTCAACCCTAAACGTTAGCCTTAGGCTTGGGGTCTGGGACTTATACCCGCCAAATTTCAGTTGCTTTTCCTTCCCTTTCCTTTCACTCGTTCATTCACTTTGTTCGTTCACTGTATTCATTCACTTAAGTATACTATTATTCTATTATATCACCATTAACTAGGCGCTCGCATAAAATATGATTCACTTCGTGCGTGTTGGAATGGTAACCTTTGGCTGCTCATAGGGCCTTGGAACTTGGGGTTTTAGGGCTTAGGGAAGTTTAGGGCTTCCACTGCGATGGAAGGGCATCTTTCACTTGCGGCTACCACTGCAGGCTGCGGCGTCAGAAGACTGCAACAAGTTGAATTTTCAATTCGGGGCGCGGCCTCGGATTGTTCCCGAGAGGTTAACGATTCGAAGGCTTGTCGGCGGTAAAACGCTTGCCAAGCTCGACTCGGCAGGGCAGCTGGTGGTCGACCAAAACCTGCAACAAGATCACCCTTTGCATGCAACTGCTATGAGATGCCGTGAGAGATTCACATGAAACGGGCCTGACTGTCGGCCTGACTCACGCAAACAAGCACGACAAATGCCACCAGCACCTTGTTTGAGGTGTATTCTCCTCAGTGCCGATCAAGGACTACTTGTCGCGTTCCTCTCTGAGCGTGTGCATTTGCCATCAATTGTGAAGGCCAGTCGGACACATGTGCACCGATTGACCCAAGGAATTCAGGTGACTGCTGTCACACTTGGGTTTCTGCCAATCCTGTTAGCGACGCGCAGAGCCCTGAGCAAGAAGCCGAAAGGCATGCTCACGCAACATCACGCTGGCTTTGCCTTCTGTCATGAGGCGCGAATCTGGCATTGAACATCCCAGATCAGATGTTTGTGCTCGGCGACTGGGTCGCCAAAAAATGTGTTTCCTCACTTGGCTGCCAGACCCGTGGTATTCCAGAATTCAGGGTTTCGGGGTCTTACGTTTAGCAAGCATTCGCAAGTTAGAGCACCTCACAAATCAAGTACCACTTCGAAGATCCCCGCCGCGTCCTTAAAGGAAGGGATTGCCTAGCCACAGGCCCCCGTGCTAGCCCTGACGTCCTGACCTCTGCCTTTCAACGTGAGGTGACGATGTCATCCAAACTGTGGCAGGGGTCGGAGCCCTAGATGACAGTCTCAAGGGCTTTGCAGTGAAAGTGTATGGAGGGGAGGGGTGTGTAAGATTTTGTGCAGGGTGGCTGTTCCGCCACGTTGACCAGCGCTGCCAGGAGCTGGCACATATGCCCATCCTAGTGCTGGCTGCGCAGCTGTGCCCACGTGGCATCGAGGTCGGCAGATAGAGTAATACATTAATACTGTAAGAATCAACTGACGGCAACGTATACAACGTTAGCAATCTCCTTGCCACTACAGCTATGGCTATTTCGCTACTTCACTTGCAGGCAACGCTCTTTGCGCCAGCAGCTGAGAAGTGTTTGTCAAGCCTGTTAGTGCCATGTCGTTGCTCAAGAACTCGCCATCGCAGCATGACTAGCACCATTACTACGATTTAGGATTACTACGTTTACTTTTCTTAATACTCTGACTTGACTTCACAGCTCTCCAGCGTTTCTGAGTGAAGGCTTTTGATGTCGGCACTCAACGCTGCCAGCTTCCTGTCTTCCAGCCTTGGGGCCTGGCTGACTCACTCCCTCGAGGTCACGGATTCTGCTTGGAGCCCAGGACACCATCTAACATCCAGCAACCCCAACACTGCCAAGCCGCTAAGGACTTCAGCAACTATGCCTTCCTGCTCCTGATTTGCAATCTCAGCGGGCTCCTGCCACTGGTGCCTTGCGATGCAGTTTTATGCTTTGCTTTTCCGGATTTCTGGAGCTTCTGGTCACCCCGGGTTGGTGCTGCCGTGCAAACTCTTCTCTGTCGACAGGCGCTGCTGCCCGGAATTCGCAACAAGCCCGGTCTGGAACTCGTGGAGCTTGAAAGATTGACTCGAAGAGACATCTTTAGGAGATGTGGTGTACTTGCCAAGGCACCAGCAAATGATGTCAGCGCTCCTGAAGTGATGTGGCAAGGCGCAGTGTGGCAGCGGACTCACGCGGCCCTTTCAAGAAATCACGCGTGGTAGGCAACTGTCATGGTCACATGCATGATATTGGCAGGAGCCTTTCTAGTTATAGTTCGGCAGAGCGATAGGCAGAGTTCTTTTTGCAGACAAGCCACTCCAAGCAAATTGCCGTGAACAACTACTGCTGTCGTTTGCAAGCGCAGCTCTTTTCAAATGCCACCTCATCCGCATGCAGGTCGTGTTGCAGGAGTTTGTGACATGGAGCAGAGGCGAGGTTTTTTCTGCCTCCAATGCCGATGTAATGCATTTTTCGAACTGCAGTCCACTGCATGGTGGAGCTCCTACTGGGTAGGAAATTCGGAATCCTTAAGCCATGTGGGTCCACTAGGTCTGGGTTTAAGGCGTGATTGTGTCTACGTTACGGGTGTTACGAATACATCCTTAAGCGGCCCTGCATGAACAAAATCAAGGTATGCGCTCTGCACTGTCACCGTTCCTTGAAAACAATGTCAGTCAATGTTTTGGCACGACTGAAGGCGGCCACTCCTGCTTTAGCCAACATATAGAACCTGAGGATGGTTTCGGGTTCTAGGATTCAGGATACATAGGAGCTCGCGCAGCAATGTTTGCTGTGGCATTGCTTTTGCATGGACACACGAGCCAGCGCCATACGTAGCGCACGCGAAACATTTTCAGGACCTATGCGGCCTCTCTAGAGTGTACAGAACAAACCAGGGAGTGTGGACAAATCGAGAGAGATGTCATGGGGCACATCCCGCAGATTCCCGAAGACTGTCCAGAACTCCTTGTTTGTTGAATCCTGCAGCTTCGGCTGTAGTTCCGTAAGCACTTCGTAGGTGCGTGGCAGCAGCCCTTTCCAGCTCATGCTGCAGTTTTACATTAACATTAACGATGCGGCGTCAAGCTTGTTCTCTGTGAAGGCGGATTATCTCCAATAGTGCCTTGTTCTTGCAACTACTGATCCGATTGCTAAGGATCCCCGCATAGTCTATGTCCTAGAATTAGCAGCATTCGCCAAGGGAAGGGGGACCTTTGCTTAAACATGGCACGTTTGGAGGCAGGGGAGCTCCGTTCTTGTTCAGGCCGGACAAGCGGTACAGCTCATTGTGGTTCCAAAGCCGAACCGTGGTACATCCGCTGCGCGGTCGATTCCAGCATGCGCATGCATACACAACTCCTTCATACCACCAGGTCTCGAAAGTTTCGGATGCTGAATCGATTCGCTTTTCTCCATCATTTGGAGAGAATTCGGTTCTTCTGTCGCTATGGCAATCGCATTCTGATTTTCGCGTGAACCAAACATGGCCACCAAGGGCAGCCCAATGGCATGTCTTCTGAACCACTTAAAGTGACAGGTTTATGTGCATAATGCTTCACTCAGACGTTTTGCTAGCCACAATTCTCAATCTTGTGAGCACCAAGAGAAGAGACATGATATTATATAGAAATCTGACACTTCTGATTGGCTAGGGCACGAGGTGAAATCACATCGCTAACATTTATAACTAGGCAAGTTCTGGGTTCAGTACGTTGCTATTCTTGTAGAAGAACCTTTTAAATATTGATGAAGGATTATAGTATTGGAATGAATGATGAATTAACTATATAAATGCGTGGAAATATTAATACTAGTCCATGGGAACGAGTGAATGAATGGATGAACAACTTCTCAAAAGGATTCAGAAAAATACGGGCATTTTCATATTCGCATCGTTTTCTGGGGCGTTTCATATTTCAATACGGAATTTCGTATGTGAATTTATAAATTCTAATAGAACTAGAGTTGATCCGTTGCTCGCAGCAGCGGTGGTTCAAGAAAAAATGAAGAAAATACGGGAGTATAAGCTCAATATCGCTCATGCAGCCACACCTTAAGTTCATCACATATTGGATAATAACAAGCTCGAAAAGCAGACCCTTATGCGTAGCACAAGCGAGGCTAACGGTGAGACAGGCTGAAATGACTACCATTACGATATCATGATATGAAGGTCACAAGACAATCAATATTTATAAAGAGTATAATAATCATAGCGCCATTGCCTAAGGCTACCGACCCACAAACGCGTCGCTCGTATGATATATGATGGCGCCTAAAGCTGCCTACTCTTAAACACAATCATTGGGCGCTTGGTAACAAGCATGAAAGGCGGACTCTTTTGCGTAACACAGGCGACGCCAGTGGTGAGATAGGTTGAAGCGACTACCACTATGACATCATTAATTGAAAATTATAAGCCAATTAATATCCAAAGAGAATATAATAAGTATATCGTATGGCGCCCAAGGCCGCCGATTCGTAAACGCATCGCTCGCGCGACACGCGATGACGCCCAGGCCTGCCTATCCTACATACAATCACTGGGCGCTTGGAGGTAGTCCAGGCCACGTGCGTGATACGTACGGCCGCCTGGAAGCAATGTGGCGGCCAAGCCGGACCAAGCACAAGCTGCGGCAATCTCACCGCGACCCCGAGCGTAATGCAAGAAAGCTTCGAACAGGAACGATTTATTGGAGTCACCAGGACCATCCACGAAGAAAATAGTAACCTCGCGATTGTCGAAGGCACGCACCAGCTCCAGATACGCGTACAATTGCTCGGGATAATCATGCATGAACGCCGCTATGCGAGCGGCCTCGCTTTCTTCGTGCGCAGGGTCATAATTTCGTTCCGCGCGTAACTCGCGTGTTCGGTGAGCATCCGCGTTTAAAGCTCGGGGTAGTGGAAACCCATAATCGACAGTAGTTTTCCCACTCCTCGCCAAGCATTCTTGCAAATGCTGCAAGGCGAGTTGTTCGACTACAACGTCGGGGTACCGGATACGGAAGTCTTCCCGGAGTTCGGGCGTAAATATTTCCCACAAGTAGAAGGGGTCGGTTACCTCGCAACAAATCAGAATCATCGCTAGGAAGCGTCTCGCTCGTGCGGCCGTGGCCACAGCCAGCACGTCGCGCAACGCAGCATGATAGTGCTCGTCCGAGTCGCACAGTCCACGCGCTATCGCTGCAGTTTGAAAGGTAGGCAAGAGCTCGCCCTCCACGGTTCGCAAATTTTCGAATCCGCAGGCTCCCGGCTGCGCGAGCAGAAGCAAGAAAAGGTAGAATCACTCATCTTCTGTTGGGGTCACATTCGCGAGTCGCCCGATCACCTTGCAGGCAGTAACGCGGCTACGTAGCTTCCATGCCTTCGCGGGGCGGTCCCGGGGCGGTCCCAGACGCACTGGTTAGGAATGTCGTGATAATACGTGACAAGTATGCCAAGCTCATCGGACCCAGATTCGTGCACGTTCTTATTCATCCTAAGCCACGCAGTGAGTGTACTACGGTGCCGTCTAACATCACGATTCGCTTGCACTTCCTCGCCCTCTTCGAAGAGGATCTGCTTCTCGCCAGGTAGATGTGTGGCCAAGCGTTGCGTAGAGTGCGAACTGCCGTGAAGCGGAAATTCGAACAAATGCCATATTGCCTCATCGGGGCCGACCCATCTTGCATCGATATGAATTTTGATTTCGTCGGCAGTATCGGCTATATCCGTATTGGCCCGGTCATATCCTTTGTATATATATATATATATATACATATACTTGACCAAACAGATGCTCGAGACCACCTCCACTTCTGTGGCCCGCAGCACAAATCGACCGAGCTGGCCAAATAAGAAAGCTTGAGCGTTGCAAGCATGAAACACATCGAAATCTCGCATCGTTGCCAACTATTAAGCAAAAAAATCTAGATTATAAGACGCAAGACAAAGCGGCACCACGCTATTCGGCTTCTGACATTCCATGCTCGGCTAGCAGTATTCCCACCGATGCAAGTCAAAGCGGCACCACACTACTCGGCTTCTGATATCCCCTGCTCGGCTAGCAGTAATCCCACCGATGCAAGTCAAAGTGGCACCACGCTACTCGATTTCTGCCATCTCATGCTCGGCTAGCAATATTCCCACCGATGCAAGTCAAAGCAGCACCACGCTACTCGGCTTCTGACATCCCATGCTCGGATAGCAGTGTTCCCACCGATGCAAATCAAAGCGGCACCATGCTACTCGACTTCTGATATCCCATGCTCGGCTAGTAGTTCCCACCGATGCAAGTCAAAGCGGCACCGCGCTACTCGCCTTCTGACATCCCATGCTCGGCTAGCAGTATTCCCACCGATGCAAATCAAAGCGGTGCCACGCTACTCGGCTTCTGACATC